TCGGTCAGAAGTTACGAAATTATTGGTATAATATATTATAATTATTTTAAAAACCAGAAATTGAATGGAAAAATATCATTTTCTAAACTTTCTTGTTTAAAAACTTTTGTGTAATTATTAAACTGTTATATAACCATCTTATAGAATATATAAAAATACATTTTTTGTACCATAAGATTTACCCCCGTAGAAAATAACAGAAAATTTGCGGTTGGGGACTTACTGAACTAAGCAGAGCGAGTAATTAAAAAGTATTCAAATCTACTAAGAATTTTTTTGAGTTTAATTAAATGAAATAATAATTAGTGTAAGTATATAAAAATGAATTAGAAACTCTATACGCTGTTTTTAAAACAAATTACTTTCGCGCTTATAAATGTTATAGACTAATATTTTGAAGAGAAAATTATGTATTATAATACTATGAGGTTGAAATGTGAATTCGCAAAATATATGTTTTTTAAATGTAAACACGAACTGTGTCTTGAATTTCAAAAGAGCCATCTTAATGTCGTATTCACAATAAATCATCTTTAAACATTAATTATCTAAAAAAAGATCGTAACCGGACTATGAAGAAATATACATATAAATTGATTATCCATAGCTAATTGATGACATTCCTCTCTAGAACCTGAAACCGGTAGCAAGAATTTATACGAAACTTGTTAGAATACTAGCTACTGAAATTTTTATATTGCTTGTAACCTTGAAGATTCGGACTTTAATATCTTCAATTCTTATATAGCGATAATCACCTTATTGGGAAAATAATGCTTATAACATAACAATGACAACATTACAATGAGTTTGATACACATAATAAAAAAAAGAGACCCATTGACCTAAAGAACTGGAATACTTTAATATTATTTTAGCTTTTACCGATAACAATGATTTGATCAAAAATATGAATTTTAAAATTCTTCACAACTCTTCATTTTTTGTCATAGTTCATAAACTATTTTGATCTACCAACTTTTTCTTTCAGATATTTCATCCTTGAGTTATATATACATATAGTTTATAAGGTTCTGAAAAAGAATTTTTACGAAAGACATCCAGATAACACACTTAATTATTCATTTGTTTAATATTAGAAATTATTTTTTACAATAAATAATTTTTTTAAAGCTCAAACCTTTATTAATATTGTGTGTAAAATATTCATCAAAATCCGATAGGTATCTGCTGCAGTCGTTGGCACTGCGTCCCAGTGGTTGGCACCCTTCTAATAACAAGAAATAACTAAAAATTAGTATGTTTTGCATATGATTATTAAAATTTGGTACATTTTTTATAAAAATCGAGTATATAATTTAGTATTTTTTGTTATTTAAAGAAAAAAAGAGGGGTGCCAACTTTTTGGGACAGTGACAACGACGGAGCAGTTATACCCTATTCTATTTCTGAGAAATAAAAGTTTTAAAAAATGTTACATTAAAATTCAATTGTTTATAAAAAAATAAACAAATGAATAGTTTAAAACAAAACTTAATGACTGTTTGTCTCTCTATTAGTACTTTGTTTTCATAAAGTTTAAATTATAAAATTGCAATCCTTGGAAAATCTCAAGCTCTCTTCATAAATTTTTATCCAAATATCATAATTTTATCATATATATTCAAATTTTCCTCTGTAGAAATGTGTGTCATATTCAGTTCGAAAGTCTTAATTTGTGTGTGTGAATAGACACAAGAATTTTAAAAATTATTCACAGCAAAATTTTTCTATTTTTATTTTCTAAAATATTTTTTTTATAAGAATTTGAATTTTATCAGTATATTTGAATTGTATTTCAAATTATTATAAGTATATATTTTGACGCTTATTATTATTTCTATCGGTTTGTTAAACACAGACTTCGTACTCGATAATTAATTTTAATAAAGTAGCAAAAAGTTGCTTTAAGATTAAAAAAAGTAGCTAAGTATTGAAAAATTAAATTTGACGACTCAATTTTTTCATAACTGTTTAATGAAATTATACATTTAAAAATAAAAAAGTTGAATTATTTTTTTGTTGAAATTTTTAATAAAATTATTAGAAAGTTCTACGATAATTTCATTATATTATAACTACAAAAATAAATAATTTATTTAATAATTGAATATTTCTTCATTGAATTTATATAAACAAATTTTTAAATAATATTGAATTTTTTCAAAGAATTTTTATATAATTTTCAAGAATAATCGCATTTTTCATAGAATTAATTTCAAATTGTATTAAAAATAATTTAAAATTAAATTAATTAAATAATTGAATTCATGTGCAAATTTTATTATTTGTGAAAATATGTTTGGGGTCTTTAGAGATAAAAATGTTCCTAATTTTACTTTTCTCATTCTGTTTGAGAATTAAAAAATCTTTAGGTTACTTTTTTTAACCGAAAACCTTTAAAAATGATTGAACTATGGCAATAAATTTTATTGAAATTTTTTTAAAATAACTGAATTCCTGGGAGGAATTTTATTCTCTATAAGAATAATTGCATTCTTGTGAAGAACTTCATTAAAGTTTTTTTAAAAAATTGAATTCCTGTGAAAATTTTATTATTTATGAAAATAATTGAATGTTTGCAAAGAATTTTATAAATTGTTTTAAAATATTTGAATAGTTTTAGAAATTTTTTTATTAAAATAGTAGATATTTTAAATAATTGAATTTCGAAATATTTTTAAAAATAATTGAATCATTTGAAAGAATTTTATTTAAATTTTTTGAATTGTTTTTATGAAAATTATTAAAATTTTTGACAATAATTTTTTTATTCCAACTATAAGCGAATTTAAAATGTAGTGCAAATTCTCAAATATAGAAAAAAGTAGCTTTTAGTGTCACGTTATCCAAATAGTAGCAGATCGTGAAAAAAGTAGTAAATAGTGTATAAATAGGTTTTAGTAGTATGAGTATATACGAAGCCTGAAAATACTGAACATCTAGTACTGTACTAATTTTAAATATTAATCGAATCTTTAAAACCTCTTTTATGAGGAATCATGGTATGAATTTTGCCTTCAAGAAATTGTTACGAACTCTGTTTTAAGGTTGTTCTACATGATAGTGCTATTAACTAAAATCGTATTAACTTTGCTATAATTTCACGACTCGTTATTGTCTAGTCAGCAATCTGCTTTTAATGAAAAAATAAAAATGAGTAAAAAGCTTCGATGCTTAAAAAATTTTTTGTCTAATCCAGTTAGTATGTTGTTTTAGTGAAATTATTATAACAGATTCAAAATATGTGACGTTCCACTGTGGAAGTGATCTTACCTGCAGCTTCTCACCGTGAAAGGTGCGGCACATATTAAAGGTGGGTTGTCATGTCACAGGGGCCCAACAATTTTGACCATTTCTAATATTTAAAAAATTATTTTCTTTCTTTCAATTATCCCTTTGTTTGGAAGAATTTGTCAAGTCGAAGGACTCCCAAACTGTTGGTTCGCCCAACATAACTTAAATATCTTTTAGCACACTTTATTTATAATTAGACATAGTTTCTATAAGTCTTCAAAGGTAAAAATTTCAAATTTAATTTATAATCACTTGAAAGTTGACGTAATAAATGTAAATAATCTTAATATGTGACTGTCCACGAGAAAACACGGCTTAGCTCTACTCTCTAAATCTGAATCAGCGAAATTTCACTGATTCTCAGCGATAAGTATGCCACTATTTTAAAACAGCGTATATGCGCTAATTAATCAGTGAAGTTTCACTGATTATTTAGTGAAATTTCACTAATTCACAGCGCATATACGCTAATTGAAATAGTGGCATACTTATCGCTGATTCAGATTTAGAGAGTAAAAAATCAATTTTGATTTTTTTTATGCTAATCGATAGATTTTATATTGCTTTTTCAAATGCAAAAATCAAAAGTTGTAAATTGTCAATTACTTTTGACAATACAACGTTTTAAAGATGTTATATTGTATGCATTCCTTCGTTCTGATTCTATACTTCAATCACTCGCCCTGTGAAAGCTAAGCCCTGTTTTCTCGTGGACAGTCACATATGTGGACGTCCACATGAAAGGGCCCATTTTGGCACTATTGGAGTTATCTATGTGGGCGTATTCCTGGTAAAATTTGGAAAATTTTGAGTGGTCTTAGAACTTTTTTGGTTAAAAATTCGCTGAGTTATAGAATTTCAAACTTTAGAACGCCAAAAACCTCATTTCGAGAAAAACGGAATTAAAGATTGCGATATACCAACTAATTGTTGTATCTCTGGTTCTTCTTGGAAGTTATTCACATAAGAATTGTTTCCAGTTCAGGGCACCTTGAAGATAAAAAACCAACAGGTTTTAAATTTTTAAACCCCCCCCCCCCTTCTTAATTTTGAAAATACGAAAAATGGACAATATGGGCCCTTTTCTAAAAAGGACAGTTTTTCTATTAAAAAACCATTTTTTTACAAGATTAATGATTAGATACAATTTTATTGTGTCATTTGAAGAAAAAGAATAGATATTAAACTTATTTAAAATTTTTTGACAGTCTCTATTTGTATGAAAAAATTGACGCAATATCCAAATTTTCATTTCGAGAATTACGAAAAAAAAGACTCTAACATCAATATCTCTGGTTCTTCTAGGAAGTTATTCAGATAAGAATTGTTTACAGTCCAGGACACCATAGAGATGAAAAATCAAGAGGTTTTAAATTGTTCCACACCTCCATTTTTAAAAACGGATTACTTTTGCAAATGACCGACAAAATGGGCCCTTTTTATTTTTCTAAAGAACCAATGAAATCAAACAGTTAAAGTATCGATAAATTAATGAAAACCGCATGATTCGACTTGTCAAAACATGTAGATTGATAATAAAAAATAAAAAAAAAATTAAGATTTTGCTTCAAAATTACTAAATTGCGATTATCTCGAAAACTAGAACCGACAATATGGGCCCTTTTCATGTGGACGTCCACATATGTGGAAATTATTTTATTTTTATTGTCTAATTTTATTAAATATTGTTTATTTATTTACTTACCAATTCTAGCAAATCCCCTCTCCTTTGCTACCCTTATTTCTGCCTGAAATGTGCATCCAAAACCTATAAATTGAAATTCGATAAGTGTTAAAAAATGTATAAATAAAACAAACTTTTCATTACTTCTACAATTTGAACCTTCAAAAATTTTAATTATTAAAGAAGCAAATTTTGAAGGGGGCGATTCGTAAATTAAAACCTTATAGTAATGAAGGCATATAGATAGATTAATACCTAACATTACACTGTCAGCAGCAACCTCAAAACCCCTTGATACAAAGTTTCATAAAAATCTATCAAATTTAAAAATTTCGGTCTGTCATATTGGAAATTTGGCATTATAGTTTCGTAATCAGAAACTTCGAAAACATTTTTTGACAAAAATGTAAGAATTTCATTTTTGGGGAGGTTAGAATTTTTATTTTTTACCCGTTGCATATAGTTTTGCAAATCCACTCTCTAAATCTGAATATGTGAAAATTCACATATTTGTACGTTATAAGTCGTCTTCTCGATCAATAAGTGCATATACACTTATAATAAGTGAAATTTCACTCAGAATAAGTGAAAAATTCACTTATTTATAAGTGTATATGCACTTATTGATCGAGAGGACGACTTATAACGTACAATAAGTGAAATTTCACATATTCAGATTTAGAGAGCATGTAAGAGGTTGTTCAAAAATGTAAAATTAGCTTAAATAAAAACTGATGTTAAAAAAATTTTGAAAATTGTAAAGAGAAGATAAATTTTAATATTATATTTAAGGGCATCCGGGAAAAATCGAGCCCAAAAAGTGTTTTCCCGCGTGTCGTCTCACTCCTAAATAATTAGAGATATTTAGTTCCGATTTATCATGATAATTAGGGGAATTCGTGATGATAAAGAATATTCTCGAAATTTGCAAGTAATTTTTAAAATAAATATTGAAAAACGAAATTACAAAAGTTGGATTTTGGGCGAAAGAGAGAGACAATATGGCGGCGAGACACAGACAAGTGGATCTATGTGTCAGTGGTCAAGGAGGTGGCGCCAATTCTCGGAAGTGGTCGCGACTCGAACTGAGGAAATGTATTAATCTCAAATTACTCCACTTTCAATCGTTAATAAAATAATTTCCTCGCAAAATTATTGCAAAAACGGAGAGGGCCGCTCCTCGGAGAGTCTTCCTCTATCACCCCTCCAAATATGAACCCGAAATATTTTATCCTCTCAAAATGAGACGTCTATACTGAACCGTAAAAAAACCCCTTTTTCCGTATATTTAAACAATTTTTTTCAATAATTATTTATCAAAATTTCTCTAAAATCCGAGAGGACCGCTGGTCCCAGAGCATTTCTCTATATTTACCAAAAAATCCCGACTCAAAATATTCTTTTCTTTTTAAATGAGACGTCTATCACGAAACCAGTATTATTTCCCGGATGCCCTTAATTCAATTTTTTTTTCTAAGCTTATTTTACAATTTTGAACAACCTCTCGCATGCGTTAACAAAAATATGCGATGGGTGAAAAAATCAAAATTCTAACGTCTTCAAAAATTAAATTTTCTCTCGCATTAGAAATGTTATTATTTACCTTAATAATTTTTTAAAAGGTGTATTATCTTTAGTTGAATTTCTATATTTAAATAAAATTATCCAACATTTTGTTATTCAGAAAACTAATTTTTTATCGATAAATTATGAAAATTATAAATAAAAATGAAATATAAAAAACACTTATAACGTTTCGACAGACCAGTTTTCCTCTTCAAAAACTAAACAAATTTTATTAACAAACAGTTTGAAAAGCACAAATTTTTTTTAAATATTAAAAATATTAATGTGTCAAGATTTTCATTTTAGTACTATTTCGAACCAATGTGTATCGGTCCCTTCGATAAATCGTTATGCAACCGCTCATCAAAAGTTCAGGGCTCACTTCGAGTTGCCGTGATTCAGGGGTTTTTGTCACTTTGGTCTCAACCACTAAAGTCGTTTTGTAGATATATAAACTTTCTAACCGGAAATAAGTTAAATACCCAGGTGCGAATTTAGGTTGGCCGCCAGAGTTTGAAGGTTGTACCAAGGTTGGCCAAATTCTGGGCCATGGCTGGCCTGATGGTTAGCAATACTTTGGAAAACATAGTTTAAAAAACTTATGATTTTTGGTCGGTCAAACTTCGAGACATGGTCAAACTATAAGAAACGTAGTTGAAAATATTTAAATTTCTTGGTTGGCTAAACTCTGGGCCATGTTTGGCCCGATGGTTGTCACAATTACCTAGATGCCTAGATGATTATTTTCATTATTATATATTGATGAAAAAACATCGCCTAAAAGGAGACGAGATAAAATCTACAATGTTTAATTAATTAATTTTTTTATTATTTGTAGATGTTTTACTCATTAAAAAATTGAGCAATTGAGAGAAGACTAGAAATTTCTAGCTCTAACTACTGTTTATGAAAAAATAACAAAAATTAATTGTTTAAACAATTAAATAAATTGTTATAGTTTTTTTGTACATAAGAAACACTTAAACATTATTTTAATAGGTTTTTTGATATTCCTCTGATATTCTTTTATATTCCCGCGTCAAAGGACCGCTGCGCGTGACGTCACATGCAAATGACGTCCTGCTCGGGATAAACAATGTTTAAATAAGGCAGTTGTCCAAGCCGTGCCATTTTTTTTCTCAATGGAATATTACTCAGTGGTAATCAAAGAATAAGGACTATTTTTTTCATTTTAAAATTCGATTGCGAACATGGTTTTTTGCTAATTTGTTATAAATAAATAATTTTTTTATTTATTAAATTTCAATATTTTTTTACGAAAAAAATGTTATTCAAAACTTTGACTCAAATAAAAAAGAATGCCTCTTGGATCATTAAAATCGGTTAACAAGTTTCTTTTTAATTAATTTTTAAAAAAAAGTGTTTAAGAACTTTAATTGTTTATAATAATAACAAAAAAATTTTTTTTGGCAAATCCTTTGATATAGTGTTCTTTTTACATATATAAAAGACTGTAGAAAAAACAACAGTTTGGCGAAAAATTCTTCAAAAATTCTTACTCCTCTCTCTCTCTATGACTCTACTTTGACTCCAAAAAGTGTTACAAATTATTTAACAATCCCGATGGGAAATTAACCATTGGTAAATTAATGGACCAATATTGGGAACCAACAGTTCCAATATTGGTCAAATATTGACAACCATTTCTAGAGTCTTGGGATGATCACGACATTGCTATAAGTATAGACAGCCAATATTGGTAAAGTTTGTCAAGAAATACGTTAAATTACAAGGCAAAGAATGGACAAGTGTAATTAAATTATTTCTAACACTACTATATTAAAATACAGAATGTGATAAAAATTGGGTAATGATGATATATTTGTCAGTCGCCGATTTTTTGAAAATTTGCATACATGTATTAGTTCATCAGAAAATATTTCACACCTGGGACACATTTCGCGCCAATCGGGCCACCATTCTCTCCAAAATTGAGAGATTTCAAAATTATTGCTCTGTATGAACATATGTGACGCGACACGAGAAAAGGGACCTATCGCCGCAAAAGAGAATTTTACAGGGAGAGCGTTTAAAGCGACGCCATGCGCGGAAAACCCGTGTATTTACGCGTACATGCTTAACTTTCGGGCTTTATATTATTAACACTATTTAAGTTTTTCAACTTTTGATTTTTTCACGTGAAAGAGCAAAGAATAATCTGTCGAATAGCACCATAATCTCAAAATCGATTTTTTTAACGATAGGTCCCTTTTCTCGTGTCGCGTCACATATTTATTACTAAAGAATAGATTTTAGAATTGGGAAAAAAGAAGAAACGTATTTTTTGTTGTCGGTAAAGAAAATGATATAATTTTTAAACATTTGGTACAAAAGAATTTTTGAGGTCGCTGATGACGAATTTGAGGTTAGATTTGCGAAATTCAAAATTGAATTCAATTTAAAATTTTTAAAAGCAGACTTAAGATTCTTAAACAACAACCCCAGAAATTCTTTGATGCAATAAGATTTAAAAATTCCATTAATATTAAAAGAAAACAAATTTTATCAAAGTAAATCAGATTTCATCAGTATACGCAAACAAATTATCAAAAAACTAAAATTTTTTAAAATTAGATCGCCATATTGGATCCGCCATTTTGAAATTTTTAAAAACATACTTCAGGTTCGCAATTAGCGACCTCAAAAAACTTTGATTTGATACAAAGATTTATCAAATTAAATTTTTTTTTTAATTTTCAAAAACTGCAATCACAGATTTGAAATCAGCGCCTCCTATAAACCCTCTCTTTACCCGGTTTTAGAAAAATCGTTGAAACTATTCCTGGATTAATCAAATTCACTCCCAAAAATTATTAAGGCTGGTTTCTACCTCTAAAAATGATTTTGGATGAATATGAAAAAACAGGTACACTGTAAAAAAAGGGAGTTAAATTTTAACTCCCCCGGGGGGTCTATAAAAGTCGCACCCATTGGGGAGTTAATGCCAGGGGAGTTAAATAAAGAGAGTTAAAATTTAACACCCAAATATGCTAACTCCCCATGTAAAAAAAAACTCGCGCGGGTGTTGAATGAAGGGAGTTAGAAATTAACTCTCTTTTGGAGTTGATTTTTAACTCGAAAAATTTCACTTCCAACTCCCGAGTCCGTTAACTCCCTAAATTTTTTACAGTGTATAAAATATTTTCCAATAAACTATCATGTATGCAAATCAAAGTTTCAAAAAAATCGGCATCTGACAGTTGCCTATATTATAGTGTTACTTGTTATAGTTTAGAGATACATATATAGGAGTCTCTTCTTATATAGAACTGATGAAACAACTTGTTAGTGAGTGAAAGAAGCTCCTGCTTCTTTCTGTATGAGGAAACTCTTGCATCTTTATACTTAAAGAGAAATATCGTTTTTTTCTTATTTTTATCACATTCTGTTTCTAATAGAATGTTAGAAATAATGTAATTACTTGTCCTTTTTTTATTGTAAATTTAATTTATTTTCTGATAAATTTTTGCTATGTGTTGGTATTTATTAAGCAGTAT